GGTGGTAGGGATGATAGTGGTAGTGATAGAAGTAGTTGTAGTACATGCGGTAGCAGTAGTGATAGAATAGACGTGATGATGTAGTAAAAGTAGTAGTAGTAAAAGTAGTAGTAGTAGTAGTAGTAGTAGTAGTAGTAGTAGTAGTAGTAAAATCATAGTAGTTTAAGTCGTAGTAGAAGCTGTGGTGGTAGTGGTGGTGGTGGTCGTGGCATAAGTAGTGGTTGGTTGTATCCGAAGTAATCGTAGATCTAGTAGTACTGCATGGATGTTATCCTGTAGGCTCTGCCTTCACATTAGTTAACATAATTAATATTAGAATACTGACAGAAGCACAAATGGTTAGACTAGCCCTCAACACCTGTGAAATGACATTGTCGATGTATAATTGAATGTTTTTGCACCATGTGACAAGGATGCATGCCAGTCTTGCTGATATATACATTCTGATAAAAATGATTCAGTCCTACCAATGCATTGATTATCCCAAACATAGCCAAATCCCATTTTAAATGATACATTTCTTAACGTTGAAGCCATATTGCTTTTACCGTGACTCACATCTAACAATATCATATTATAGCATTTCTTCGGTAGTCGTAAGTCTGGCATGGATATTAATTTATAACAATATGATGAACATCGCTTGTAGGCATAGATTTATACAGGCTATTTCTCACATTCACTACGTACAACATGATTTGGAGTTGACGACTTCACACCAAGAAAATATTTGCATGCCAGGACATAAACGCCTTCAATAACTTTGCCAAGCTTACAATCTAAGTCAATTTCTAGTGCCCATATTTCGACACCATACAATAAAATTGACATCACTTTACTATCTAAAACTTTGAAGAAAACATCATGTGGCAAGGGTCAGTATGCTTGTATAGGTGGCTTGTGTGTACTTAAACGCCGCACTTAGACACAATGTACTGACTCCGAGCCTATCGGTCCTTCTTTCAGCCCCTCAATGCCGAACGCCAGATCAGGTAACAGCAAGTACCATCTTTTAATGTATCTTTGTATGACGCGACCGGGGATCGAACCGCCGACCGTCCGCTCTCCGGGATCAGAAGTAGTAGTAGCAGCAAAAGCAGTGGTAGTAGAAGTGATGCTGTTAATTGTAGTAGTAGTATCAGTAGTGATGATTGTAGTAGTAACAGTAGTAGTAGTAGTAGCAGCAGCAGCAGTAGCAGTAGCAGTAGTAAGGATGATAGTGGTAGTGATAGAAATAGTTGTAGTATATGCGGTAGCAGTAGTGATAGAATAAGAGTGATGAAGTAGTACTAGTGGCAGTAGTAAAATCATAGTAGTTTTAGTCGTAGTAGTAATTGTGGTGGTAGTGGTGGTGGTCCTGGCATAAGTAGTGGTTGGTTGTATCCGCAGTAATCGTAGATCTAGTGGTATTGCGTGGATGTTATCCTGCTGGCTCTGCCTCCACATAAGTTAACATAAATAATATTAAAATGCTGACAGAAGCACAAATGGTTAGACTAGCCCTCAACACCTGTGAAATGGCATTGTCCATGTATACTTACAACAAGTACAAAAGATGTATGCTGTAAGTTTTGTGACGCAATTCCATTAACATACTATCTGAAATGAACATAATACCTGCTGATTATAACATTAAACTCTCAATAATACTCATATAAGTGTTTGATAAAAAGTATTTCTTAACGTTAAACATTAGGCCCTGGTGTTGAATAAATGCACAGGGTGACTAAATAAAAATATACAGTCATCGGGGATCAGTTCGTGAACTATTAACCTCCTTTACTCCATAGCATTAGGAGAGGTCACCATTGTGAAGCGGTAGGATATCTTTGTGACATTAGATGCGTCAACACTTCAAAGGGACAGCTTTACCGATAGACACACTTATATAGGTATGTTACAAACATTTACACTTTTCAAACGTCGTTGTTTATGTATATATACTCAAATTAAGATCGCTAAAAAGGTCCTGTAGGGTTATATAAAGTTAAACATTTAGATAAGACATAGACATTTTCATAAGTTGACATGGTCGCCCAAGCCATACATTGAACTACGATCTGACAGAGTGTCTACCACTGCTAATGTATAAGAGACTTTTGTCACAGAATCCAATTGAACATGTTTTGCTATATCCTGGGTGTTTTGTCATCTTGGACATCGACTGGTGACCGGACGTTTCTCATAGAGGGATAAGATTGGTACACCATTCACGCTATATTTTATTTTTCATGATACTGACGACATTTGTCTGATGATTCAAAACTAAGATCAGATATCATTTTATGTTTCTCCTACAACATCCTTAAAATGAAAATGAAAATACATTTGATCAGCAGTCATAATTTGAACACAATCAATTCTGCACGTAAAGAGGTTGGTCCAAAGCCCATTGCCATATCACAGAATGACGTTGTACATCGCCGATAAAGAAAATGTATGTATTCTTCGTTGTTCTTGGATTAAAAGTAGCATTTCGGCGACACTAATGAAATAAATTGACACAAACAGTGACATTGCTAAAAGAGGCGTAACACCATACGCATTTAGAAATTGTCATACGAAAGGTTACTCAAAAATGTCCCAACATCACTGAAGTCACAGCACAGCCGAGAACTTGGTTACAAAAGCTGATCAAACTTGATGAAATTCATTTCAGAACACACACACTTAAGCAACAATACACGCATGTGATAGCGTCCTTTGTACCCTGTGTCGTCATGCGTTGCAAATGCTGTTGCCGCCATGGTAAAATGGACATACTGTGTTTTGAAATTTGATGTAAAAAAAAACTTTGATTCTATAGCTCTCCTTTAAGGCGGTACACTACTGACAATGTGAAATAAAGTTTGCATTGTTAATAAAAAGTTAAAGTCTGCTTAGTTCACTGTCATAAGTAAACAAAGGTTTAATAAACAGGGGTAACTCAAGGTGTGGCTCTATTTCCATCTGAGTATACCTTTTCTAGATTGATGTGATGGAAGACAGTTATGATTAAAACAATATTATGTTACATGAAATACATTTAGAGAATGGTCAACATGTCGTGGCTTCTATGATCAACAACAATATGAAGTTTTTGAGTACCTATTGCTTATGTTGAGAAATACTGAAAATATGTAGTTAAAACGTTGTGGTACACATGTTGCATTGAATACTTGATCATCTTGTAGAATGGACAATGCGGGACATGGCTTTTAATTACAGACTAAACCTTTTGTCCACCTCGCAATTAGATGATCCTGGAATCTTCTATGCTTTTGGGGTGATTGCCAGCACACTGTCATTGTCGTTCCAGCTTTTGTCTTTTAAGTATGTTTGGCCATTAAAGTCATTCCTTACTTTCTTCCCAACCCAATGCATTCATTCGACACAAATTTGAGATTCATCTGCATCTTAAAACAAACCAACAGAGTTACGATATTCAATCGTAATTAATAATGACATGTTTGGCTAAACATCCACTTTGGTCAGGGACGGCTGCAAAGCTAGTATTGAGATTGATCCGAATCTCCAACTTTCTCTCCACCATTTACGCTACATCCTTCTCAACATCACGACCCTCCTAATCTTCAGCCTTCACCGTCTCTCCTTCACTAGCCCCCTCATGTTCTGGTATTATCTCTCCATCACTAGCCCCCTCATCTTCAGGCTTCAACGTCTCTCCTTCACTAGCCGCCTCATGTTCTGCCATTATCTCTCCATGATTACCCCCTTAGCGCCAGCCTACATCTTCTCTCCATCACTAGCCACCTCATCTTCAGCGTTTATCATTCATCACCAGCCTCCTCATCTACAGCCTTCACATCTCACCACCATTAGCCTCATCTTATCTTTCACCTTTGCTCCATCACTAGCGCCTCATTGCCAGCCTTTATCTATCCATCACTAGCCCCTCATTATCAGCCTAATCTTCTCTCCATCAGTAGCCACCTCATCTTCAGCGTTTATCATTCATCACCAGCCTCCTCTTTTACAGCCTTCACATCTCACCACCATTAGCCTCATCTTATCCTTCACCTTTGCTCCATCACTAGCGCCTCATTGCCAGCCTTTATCTCTCCATCACTAGCCCCTCATCACCAGTCCGTACATCTCCATCACTAGCCTACTCATATTCACCTTCCACTTTCGCTGTCCATTTTTATGAACATTTCCGACACTTTCTATACATACATGTTGGAGATGATGAATCACAAAACATGTCATGGATACAAGTTTGCAGTGTGTCCGCTTTGATTACAGTAGTAGAAACAATATATTTAGAGTTTTCACATTACTTTATGTGAGCAGGAACTGCGATCACTTGGGTTTGGAATAACTGCCAAACAGGACGTAACCTGGTGAAGGTGGTGAATCTTTTTCCTTAAACTGCCCCTATTCGTGTATGTTTTAGTAGATCTCCTTTCCCAGTTTCCTTTAGGGCATGTTCTCTCCTCACCACCCAGGTAAAGTTATCTACGTTCGGGATCTTTGTCGCGATTCTGTCGAAACTTTCTCTGCGTTTGTCATTGCCATAGTTACCTGCAAATGTAGTTTGCATTGTTTGGAAAAGAACAGTTTGCATTGTACAGTAGATAATTGATTATTCCAAAGTTGTAGTTAGTGTTACAGGTAAGTCACCAACATTAAGGACATGGTCATATAATATTTCTATTCAGGAATCATATAAATTTGATTCAAGTTACACACTGAAACTTCTAAATGAATTTCATTTATAAGTTAACAACAAAAATATCCCATAAATGAAAATACTTACAAAAATGCCTTCTTTACCCATTTAAATCGCACCGAGAGCACATATATCATGACACAATCATTAAAATGACCTTTTCATTATATGAAGTGTTTGGAGGTGACATGTAAATATATACATGTATATTGTAAATTTTTCAAAGATCTTTAACAAAAATAGTTAAAAATGATCCATTTACAGTTTTATCTAAATGATAGTCATGTACGTGTTATTTGCAAGTGGTTGTTTAATTTTGTTTTCAGTCATGTCAGAAGAAAACTTTAAAAAGCCGCAAGACACGAAAGAGGATGACACAGAACTTCATGCACAACATTTGCTGTCAAAGAACGGACAAACTTCTGAAGAGTCCGATTCGGGACTGGGATGGGTTATTGTTTTCGCGTCCTTCTTTAGCCACGCCATGTTCTTTGGGATAAATCTATCATTTGGTGTGATATACGTATTTCTTTTGGAATACTTCGACATGAATCGCGGAGACACAGCTTGGATTGGCTCAATTCCAACGGGTCTCCTCAGTATGGTAGGTAAGTGTTATGACATGTGACTGAACACCTGGACTTTTCTCTACGTAGGACTTCTTGTTTTGATACGTAGCTATTAAACAACGTATAGGATACGGTATATGGTAGGACACTGGTCTTAAATTTGGTATAACGAAAAAAAAATATTCAAACTAACTGAAATATGGGACCCCAAAATAAACTAATGGTATCCTTGAAAGGTTTAATTTTACACAGCATGTCACTGTCAAGACGTCACTTCGCTCATTGTGACGCAAATTATATGATATCACAGTCGGATATGAAAAAATAAAAATTTCAAGCTCACCATTATCCCGGAAACTTCAAATACACACTCCGAATTCTTATGTGTTACTTTCCCCTTAATGGGTCCGTGAAAATCCGGAGTAGAATAGGTCTTCAACAACCCATGCTTGCCGTAAAAGGCGACTGTGCTTGTCGTAAGAGGCGACTAACGGGATTGTTGGGTCAGGCTCGTTGACTTGGTTGATGCAACAACAAACAACAAACAACAAATAAACAAACAAACAAACTTACCCTAAAAATTATTGGGATATTTGTTCCGGAAATGAGATGCCTTGTCATAGCAACAGGTTGTTACTGTTGTGACATCTGTAAACACGAATGTTTCAAGTTATTTGGTCAGCATTTCCCCTATTATTGGACGCTAAGTTCATGACTAACATGTACATGTATCGGTAACATATTTTACAATACTTGCTCTCTTTTCTCAGCCCCAGTGGCAGGGATCCTCACGGACAAATATGACTGTCGTGCTGTTACGATAAGTGGAGCTGTCATTGCTTCTTCAGGATTTGTGATCAGCTCGTTTGCACTACCTCTATATCAGTTATGGAGTTTTAGTAGGTGAGCGTCAAAGAATAAGATTCAATGAGGGTCAAGTTGTAATAAAACATGTCAAATAATAATAATAATAATGTCAAAATGAGTTTCGTAGAGCCTATTTTGATGGTTCTTTTAAATGGTTACATGAATTTACATCTCGTTTAGGAATTGGTCTGGGTCTGATGCTCTTACCATCCAAGGTGGTAGTAAACCAGTACATGAAGAAACGTCGAGCTCTGGCTAATGGTATATGTGCCTCGGGATCTGGCGCTGGAACGATTGCCTTCTCAGCAATGTTCCGAGCTCTCAGAACTGCCTACGGCTTAAGCGGCATGTTTCTCATCTCTGGAGCGGTTGTATTAAATGCAGCAGTTTGTGGATATTTGTATCGTCCCAAGAAACAAAGAAAGAGAGCCTTATCACCTGCACCTGGAGGTAGGGATGGGTTACATGTAACGGGAGTTTTATGTAAATAATACTTGCATATGTAATTTCTAGTCTATCTTTCCACATGACAAACGGGCATATTAAGCTGTCCATTTGCATCTTAAAGCACTGACGATCGTATAGACAGTACGAGGGGATATCATAAAGTTTTGAGGCTGGCATATCTGGATTTGTTTTTGCTAACGTGTGACATTTGTAAGTATTTGCCTGTGTTTGTTGAGACGGATTTCACATTTAGGCGTGATTCAGTTCAGTGATTTGCTGATTATTGACCTCGACTCTAAGGTACCCTAAGCTACCTTAGAGGTATCTCTTTAACATTGAAATGGACAAAACTGAGTATCACTCTTCAAATATACTTAGCGTATCTATCATGGCTAAAGCGTTAGCTCGCCAAGCCGAAGACCCGGGTTCGATTCCCGACGTGGGTACAATGTGTGAAGCCAATTTCTGGTGTCTCCTGGCGTGATATTGCTGTAATATTGCTAAAAACTGCGCAAAACCATACTCACTCACTATCACCAAACTTCTGTTGATGGACGATGCCATTTATGGGGGGGCAGGTCCATCAAGTGCAGACCAAACAAAGACGTTCAATGCAGCAGTTCAAAGACGTTCAATGAAAGAATTTCAGCATGGGCGACATACCACCTGGAGCATAAAAGAAAACGTTGATCTACACAAGCTGGCACTGAAATGTCACATTAAGAGAAAATATAGGGCTGAAGTCACCGTTGTTATTGTTGTTATTATTAATACAACAACATGAAACATAGGTTGATGGCATTATGAAACAACAGAGGAAGACAGCAACAGTTACCTAACCACCAACTCAGTTTGTATCATTTTAACAATACTTATTTTAAAAAATATCCGTGTCTTTCAGGTGCTTCTGAACTACAAAGTAAAGACAAAGAAGATTCGTCCAATCCAGGGATACACACACCTGCTCCACAATATCCAGTACTGTCTGTTCATATTATGCAATGCCCTATCTACAATTGGCATTTTCGTTCCTTTCGCACATCTTCCAAGGCGAGCACGTGACCTACAAGTTCCCGAACACAAGGTGGCGTGGTTGTTGCCAATGATTGGTTTTGCCAGTGTCCCAGGACGACTGTTCTTCGGTTGGATTGGGGATTTCAGTTGTGTCAATATCAGGGTTTTATGGGCGTGGTCTAATATACTGTGCGGTCTGTGTGTGATTGTGTGTCCTTTCTTGAGATCATTTCCATTGCTAATGGGATTCGCCGCGATATTTGGTCCTTTATCAGGTAAGTTGTTAAAACGTCACGAAATATCATTTTCCTTAACTCACATTCCGTTTTATCGGTATGTATCAATATCTTGCAATATAAACTTTTTTGGCTTTATCAAGTACCAATGTAATTTATATACACGCACATTCGGATGGAACGAATCCAGAATGTATTCAGACGGATAACAGTAAGGATCAGTATAATGAATGCAGTATTATTGCAACTCACTGCAGCCAGTTCATGTATGTTTTTGTATATTAAAAGCATACGTGTGTGTATTCTGGGCTAGATTCAGGGTAGAATTGGTCCTTGGGGACATACACATGTCATTAGAGGCGACCATGACCCCATGACTTGACGTGTCATCGTGTGCTAATGGCATGGAACGTGCTTTCAGGCATGTTTTTGCTTGTTTGTTTTTTTAACTTGTTCGACGTTGTTCTCTTTCCATGAAATAGTAATATAGCATTCAACACATTGTTCTATTACAGGCATTTGGACGGGGTTGAAGACAGTTGCTCTGGTAGGTGTGGTGGGTCTTGAAAACCTAAGCAAAGCCCTGGGTCTGATGATGTTTCTACAAGGATTGTCTGGCTTCATAAGTTCCCCGCTAGCAGGTAGGTGTGCTTGTTCATTTTAGGCCTACAAATACAAATTGGTCCACAACCAACTCTTCAACTGGTGAAACACTTTTGAAGTACAGTGACAATTATAAATATTGGTTGGTGGCAACACATGGACTTTAAGTATACAATTAATGAACTGGCTAAATCGGCAAATCGAGCTTTTGGTGTTTTATGTACAACAATATTTTGATGCTGGTGGTTTTACTTATGCAATTTATACTAAATTGAATGAATCCTTGGTTCAGCCTCTTATGCAATATGGTGCTTCCATCTGGGGGTTGTATGAACATAAAAAGTTAAACACTCTACAAAACAAAGCATGTAATTTTTTCCTCGGCCTTAGACGTAATGCGTCAAATGTTGCCGCCAGGTGAGACATGGGTTGGAAATCATGTGTCACCAAGCAACGCATAGAAGTATTTCGTTTAATCTTCCGCCTCAACAGTATGGAAATAACAAGATTGCCCCGTGTCATTCATGCTTGGTCAAAGGAGGTTTATAAGCTAGCTAGAAACTTAAACGTCGTCGACTTGATCGATGTCCATTCGATGACACGTGGTCAGTTCACTCTCATTATGCAAAAATTATTTCAAGTGGATGAAACTGCGTGGTTTTCAGAGCTGTGGAATGATGCTAATAACACTAATGGTAATAAGCTGAGGACCTATACATTGCTTAAGAAGGATCTAGCGCCTGAGCCCTATGTCTTATCAAATTATATCCATAGAAACACCAGAAAATATTTGGCACTTTTATGCAGTGGCACCCTCCCCATTAACATTGAAAAAATGAGGTACAGTCGTCCCCCTGTCCCCCTTTAGGATAGAACTTGTCTTTTTTATTTTAACTCAGTATTGTAACATGTATGATGATTTACGTTATAATGTAACGGACGCTATATGTGAAAATATGCCGAATTTCTTAAACTTATCTTCAACCTTGAAATTTATTCCATTACTCAGATGGGTGTTAAACTCTTTGTAAGTTAATAGATCAAATGTTCCAAAGACGCTTGACACTCATTTAATTCTGTGTGCGCTTTTCTACATGTATGTTTTTTTGCTCTCTCTCTCTCTCTCTCTCTCTCTCTCTCTCTCTCTCTCTCTCTCTCTCTCGCTAAATGTATCGTGAGTATGTTTTTTTCAATAAACAGAACCTTGAGCACAACAAATATAGATGCATTCAAGATATTTATGCTGAGAGGAATTTGCAATTGTGTTGACTCTAACTATTCTAGGAGTTGAAACGAGAAACGCTGATTATATTAGTTAACTATATAGTTTCCTTTCAGACTGTTGAAATATTTATACATGTAGTTTGCTATTCGAGTGGAAAGTGTATTGGAATGATTTCATGGATGAACTTTAACTGGTGTGTGTGTGTTTTCTCCAGGCTGGTTGTACGACGTCACGGGGACATACGCAGCGTCCTTCTACACACCGGTGTATATGCGGTGGTATTATGGTTTTGTCGCAAATGAAACTTCGAAATGTATGTAAACAGAGAGGACCAGATGGAGTTGATGTCAAGTTTACAGTAGTCAGTGTTGTGGACCCTGTGAAGTGTGATGACTAAGAACCCTTATGTGTAAAATATATGTCATGTCCTAAATGTACGAGTAGGATTTATGCTAGTGTGGTGTTTGTTATATTTCCCAGGCGGAAAATGTTGAATATCAGGTTTAATCCTGTAAGGAGGAAGGAAACTGGATTAACCTTTAATAGATGTGTTACACATGGGCGAAGGAAGGCTATTCATATTATGTAAACTGGGTGTGGTCCCTGAACTGATGTGTTACACACCAGATGGAAGTACCTTGGAGTGATCCCTAAACTGATGTGTTACTCACCAGATGGAAGAAGCTTTGAGTGATCCCTAGACTGATGTGTTACACACCAGATAGAAGAAGCTTGGAGTGATCCCTAAACTGATGTGTTACACACCAGATGAAAAAAGCTTGGTGTGATCCCTGAACTGATGTGTCACACAACAGATGAAAGAAGCTTGGAGTGATCCCTGAACTGATGTGTTGCACACCAGATAGAAGAAGCTTGGAGTGATCCCTGAAATGATGTGTTACATTCCAGATGGAAGGAGCTTGGAGTGATCCCTGAACTGATGTGTTACATACCAGATGGAAGTACCTTGGAGTGATCCCTGAACTGATGTGTTATACACCAGATGGAAGAAGCTTGGAGTGATCCCTTAACTGACGTGTAACACATCAGGAAGAGTACACTGGGGGTGATACCTGAACTGATGTGTTAAACACCAGATGGAGGAGGATAGATGTGGTGTGTAATCCCATAACTTATGCGTTACACATCAATTAATGATGGATGCCTAGGAAAATTCACCTGTCTTCCCGCTTGAAACAATCAGTGTGTAACTATATGTGATGTGTCATCTTTTGCACAATGTGAATTCATTAATTCCACGTGTTTCGCATCAAGGTTGTTCATGTAGCTTTTTAAAATACGACGTTGGTCGAGTTAACTTTGAATGAAGTTGTAACTTCAGAATATAGTTGGTATGCTTGAGTGACTAACATCAATTTAGCTTGGAAGCGATTTGTATGTAATGAATGAACATACAGAGATACGACATACAAGGACGTGTGTCATGCATACAAAAGTTACCAATCGCTCCACTGTGTATTATTACACAATAGATGCTTCACTGCTTTCGGATGGCAGAAAATAATTTATGATATATACACGTTGCTGGAACAATGAAACTGCTGTAGTTAGTACTTTGTGGTCAGGTTGTTATTTCAAGACAAACATTGATCAGTTGTCTGTGGTCGGTCTCTGTCTTGACAGACTGTATCGATCATTGACATATGGTTTTTCGTCTATCTAACAGCAATATACCAACTCTAATTCGATGTGATTCGCTTTGCAGTCGCATCCTATAGTCGTATTTGGATTCGATGATCGTGGGTTTGTCAGCACCAGCCCTGTGTTCTTGGGTTTCACCAAAGAGGTAAACTTCTTCGACCTGCAACACTTTAAGCATTCCTCCCAAATATATCTGACGGGCTTCGAATTAAAATAGCTCAGTTCAAAGCATTGTTCTGGTTTGTTTACAGACCGCCATCGCATGGCTGTGCCATGTCAGGCAATAAATACTTACTTTTTCATCTAAATTGTGTTAATGGTGGCTGCTTCCGGTAGGGCAGGACATGCTTACACTTTCGCGAAAACCTGGTGTCATCACTGATTTTCAGTGGTCTTCACAGGTTTTTGCCCTTCACACCAAATGGAATCTGTTTCGCCAGGTAATCTAGACTGGTTATTCTCACGCATTGACAATTCATATTATCTATTACACTCATTCACCCATCTACCCATCCACTTATTCACTTATTATTCTAAATCACCTGTTACTGAGTAACCAATGTGTTTGTTTCTGGGCAAATTTCTCACAAATGTCAGTGTATATAACACGTTATTTTTCCTTTGCTCTTTTGGAATCTCATCTTTCATAAGAAGACATGCGACATGACAAATAATGTCCAAACACATCTGCATCAATATATCTAAATAAATACATAGTGTTCGGATAAGAGTTATATACAGGCGACCCAAAGTCATGCATGTGCTTCACCAATTACTTCCTACTCCACGATGTTTATCCCGTTGTCTTCAAGAAAGTCAACACAATCGTTTTTTCTCCCCAACAAAATGCCAACCGAAAATACTGCAGTCAGTCTTGGATTGTTTTATGTTGATGAGTCAACATGTTGAATTGTCCACATTTTTTAATACCTAAGACGACTAACGCATATTGTGATCAAAGGCTTACACATTAATTACCTATGTGGGTGGGGGTGTCTGTGCCAAGCTTTAGAAAACGTCCGCCCATAACCCCTACATCCTAATTTTAAAAGAGTAGTAACCTCTGGCTAGAGGTCTTAAAACATCATTAATGTATGGCTAGGTTGCCCTCACCAAGGCAATATGTGAAGCAGGGGTTACGGGCGACAATCCTTATCGAGTTTTAATACGGCAAAGAACAAGGTTCGGATTTAGAAGTTGTACCCTTATTCTGTGTCTTTGGCCTGTTGTAAGAATGTGATCCCCAACAAAGTAGACAGAGACCACAGGTAATTATACCGTACATTTGTAGCTAGATACTAAATTCGATGAAGGAACATTCATTTTGATATGACATTGAAAGTCTCATAGTAATAAGTTCAGACACTAACTACATGTAAGTTTTATATTCCCGTTTGTATAACTAGTACCGACCAGGGTTACGAATGATTCCCTGAAGCGTTGAATCTCTGTCCATGCTGTCAACCACTGGTCTGCCGGAACCAGATTCGATACATTGTAGCTGAAATATCAATAGCATAACAACGGCGTAGCCGCGACTTTATAATCGTCATTTTTGATGGATTACTTTGTCGCTAAAACATTGAGACTCTAACAATTATGCCAGGTCGAGGTTGACATCAGAGCACGAAGTTGGTCAACTGACCAGTCGATCTTAACGTCCACCTTGTTCTTGAATTACAGTATTCAAGCAGGCCCATGCCCACCTTTTTCCTGAATACCAGGTTTCAACCATAACCATTATCCTGAACCATCTGCACTTTACTAAATCGGGAGGAGACCTTATCAATATCTTTATTCACATCATACAAACATAAAACACCAAACCATTGAATTTCCCCTGCTTATGTTGGAATATAAACTGTCTCAGAGACAAACTATCTGATTTTTCAATTTTTAACCTGGTTTTGATCATGACATTTTTGGACTTCTCGAAATCTGGGGCTGAGGCTGCTTTCTTGGATTTCTTCATACATACGAATCAGCGAGAATTCAACTACTGGGTTCGTTAAAAAAGATGGGACTTGTTGTTACCCTGCCTGGCGCTAGGTATTAAGGGGATAAAAGAGGACTGGTCTGCTATGATTCAGTACACTGTGTCTCATAGGGGTATTCATGTTAAACTGGGGTTTGGTATCTCAGTGGGCTGGT